GGGCTTGCCATTGTCTGGGGCTGATTAAATCGGCGGTTAATGTATCCTCCTTGTGTAAGAGACAATAAATCAGCCTTTAATGCATTTAATTCGCTTTGAAATTTACTAATGTTTTCCATTTGTGTACTCTGGCTTTATCTCAACTGTTGGAGACTTTCTTTTTGTTTATTTTCTTTCTCCTCCAACCACTGCTGTAGTCTCTCTTCTTGTTTCTTTTCTTTTTCCTCCAACAACTACCGTAATCTCTCTTGTTTATTTTGCTGTTCGAGCTGCCATTGTTGCAGGTTTTCTTGCCACTATTGTAACCTATCTTCTTGTTTATTTGCTCCCCAGTGGCACAGCGGTATGTCTGCAAACTTACAATGCTAGAATCCGGGTTGCGATATCCGTGGTGGGCAGAGCACAGATAGTCCATTGTGTAGCTTTGTGCTTAATTAAAAACAAACAAACAATCTTGTTTCTTTTCTCATTCTTCTTGTTTCTTTTCTTTTTCCTACAACAGCTGCTGTAATCTCTCTTCTTGTTTCTTTTCTTGTTCTTCTTGTTTCTTTTGCTGATCTTGTATTGCTGCCATCAAGTCTGCTAAGCTGTAGTTTGATTTGCCACTTCTCGTTTCCATTTTTTTTCTTTTCCGTCCCACTCTCTGACACCAATTTGTTACGTCTCTGGTCGTTTGTTAATTTCTCGTATAATTTCTTTCGGTTGAGACTTTAGCGATACAAGTCCTTTCTTAAATAAAACTAGTTTATTCTTTCTCAATACAACTTTGCAATACATTTAATTTCCACAGTCAGTTTAACTTAAACACACGCTAGAATTCACAACGATTCACGCACTTTACTTATGGTCACTACCGCGCTTGACTCAATTGTCCGTCTCTATCTCTGCCTGTCTGCAATTATCTCCCCCGCGTCACTTTATTTGCCGACTTATATACGAGAACATAGCATGCCTAGAAAAGCCTAGAGTTGCGATGAACAGTCACGATCTTTCTAGAACTCCAGAGCATGCTCCAAGCGTCCCGCGACTTCCATTGTCGTAACAGTATTAACATTTCTTTATAATTCACTGTACTAGCATGTTGTCCAAATCCACTGTACTAGAATAGTTTCCTAGTGGGTCATATGTAAGTTTACAGACTTAGAAATGAAAATCAAGGATTCGATTCCCTGTTGTGATCAGTGTACAGATAGCCCATTGTGTAGCTTTGTACTAAGAAAACAACAACTGTACTACAGTAGTACTAACATTTCATTATAGTCTTCTGTAATAGCATATTGTAGTTTTGTTATAGTTTTCTATGCTAGAGCAATATTAATAATTAATAACTATATAAGATTTTAAAAATATATATCACACAAGAGTAGGAGTAATGGGCAATGTAAACTTCACCAGTTACAGCGAATTCTGTGGTCACGGCACCAACGTTTTGCGTTAGTATAACAGATGAGATTTCATTCCCATTCCTAAGCCATTCTATTAAACTGATATCAGGAACTGTCCTTGAACAGAATATCAGCACATCAGATAAGGTGTCATCCTCCCTTCAAAACGTTCCATTGAACTAGCGGCTAGGCTGCGCAAAGCTAAAGTGAACAGTGGAAGATACGTCTCCAGTTCGTGCAACATTTAACATATAGATATGGAAGACAGAAAACAAAAGTTTACCCACTGTTTACCACTCTCTCGGTTAAAATATGCCCCAGAGGCTCAGCAGTCATTCTGTGGGCTTATAAAGTTAATATTCGGGTTTCGATACGTTGATGGGTATAGTATAGAGAGCCCCTTGAGTGGCTTTGCGCTTAACAACAAACAAATTTTTTTTTTTTACCATATTTAACGACTTGCAGCTACATTAATGTGTGTAAAACCATTCATCGTGAAGGAATATTTTTGCATTTCTGATATTTAAGGTGTATTTAAATGTCCATGATTATTTTAAACATATGGCCAGGTGGTTAGGGCACTCGAATCGTAATCTGTGGGTCGCGGGTTCGAATCTCCGTCACACCAAACATGCTCGCCCCTTCAGCCGTAGGTAAAAGAGTCGTTGGTAAAAGAGTAGTCCAAGAGTTGGCGGTGGGTGGTGATGACTAGCTGCCTTCCCTCTAGTCTTACAATCCTAAATTAGGGACAGCTAGCGCAGATATCCCTAGTGAATTATTCTAGATAATATCATGAGATTTATCTAAATAATATATGAAATTAGTGATAAGAGATAACAAGTAACATTTTTTTTTACTATCTAAAAGCTACTGAAAAGTTACAATAGGTTGTTTGTATTATAACATTTATACTCCCGTCTAGTATCGGGTCAAAGTCTACAGGAAATACAGTAATCACATCCATGATACAAAATACGCCTCATGTGACATGTAAAATGCCTGTTGCTGGTTTCAAACTTCTTAATATATAAAAAACCTTTTCAAAAACTGAGTGTACTTTATATAATTCTATGACTTCCACATTTCAAAGCTACAAAGAGCAGTAGGAAACACATTTTCAATTCATACAAGATGTGACACAAAACAGAAGTTTACCCACCGTTTTTGGGGATATTTTCCACGAAGGTTTCGCTGCAGTTTCAATGCTGATTTTCTGGGTGATGTTGCACGACGTTTCCTCTGCCATTGTTTCACGTATCGTTAACTCTAGCTCCTCTAGTTAACAGGTGAGGGATGTTTAACTCAGAAAAAACTATCGTGTAAAACGTTACAACATTACCGGACGCTCTAACGATCTCTCTACCGCTGCCTGTACTAGAAATTAAGTGTACTCAAGGGGCTTGCCCCTGCGCAGTACTCGTTAGATATGTCCACGTCACGTGAGATAGCTAGTTTCTTTTATAAAAAGCGCAAAAATGTGATAATTCGAATAATACTTGAAGAACACTATCTCCAATTCATTAGTTATAGCCCGAAAAGAAAGAGGTATCAGTCAGTATACAGTTTGGATATGAGTAAAGAGGAATCAGTCAGTATACAGTTTGGATTATAATATGAGTAAAGAGGAATCAGTCAGTATACAGTTTGGATTATAATATGAGTAAAGAGGAATCAGTCAGTATACAGTTTGGATTATAATATGAGTAAAGAGGTATCAGTCAGTATACAGTTTGGATTATAATATGGGTACAGAGGAATCAGTCAGTATACAGTTTGGATTATAATATGAGTAAAGAGGAATCAGTCAGTATACAGTTTAGATTATAATATGAGTGTATACATAGACATTTTTATATTATTATTGTTGCTTTCTGGAAACGATATTCGAGTGATTCATTCAGTAATTATGCAAATCTCTTAATTTTTGTCACATTTTACTCGTAACGGTATTGGAGGTATAATAAGTATTTGAAAAAATACAAAAAACGCTTTAATGAAAAATAATATTGAAAACGATGTACCTTTAATACATTATAATTGTTGTTTGATGTATAACAAAAAATGGCGAATCCTCATTCTTTTAGATAAGAATATGTGGAGAAACTTCACAATAAAATTAAAATATATTTTAAACACAACGCTTTCAACTAAAAACATTTAACATTAGTATTTAAAAATACTGTTTCTTAATTAATAACATTACATCACGCATATTACTTCCATCTCACGTTTTTCATCTAAGAGCATTACATAGATTAATTACACCACACGTTTACACATCTAAAAACATCAAACAGTATTTATTATTTATACTACACGTTTTCTTATCGAAAAACTTATATAGTACAGTCTTGGCCAAAATGTTTGTATATTTCGTAACAAATAAGATAATTATTATTAAGATGGAATACAAATACACTTAGCACTGTCAAACTGAGAGATGCATGTTATATTAAACATCTACACATGTAATTTGTATAATGAGACAGATTCTATGGACATGGTGAACAATATATTAGAATAGCAAACAATTTCATCAGATACCTGTAGAAAGATGTGTAATTCAGCATTTCACCTATCGCAACAACACTTTACTAAAACATATATATAATGACAAAATATAACATCAAATTATTAGAAGTAGCGTCTGTAACTTTATATCAGTTCATATTAAACATTCAGCACTTGGTTGGTCCTCTTCGTACTCTAATAACCTCTGCAAGGTGACAAGGCATGCTATCGATGAGATTATTGATGTAATCCACCGTGATTTCATCCCAACTTTCTCTAGTAGGCGCTGAAACTCTGCTACAGTTCTGCCATACAGTTCTCAATGGGATTGCAATCTGGATACTTTGCTAGCCACGGTATTCTTATAACGTTTAATGTCAAACCTTTTTTCTAACATATGGCAGAAATATCGCCTCCATGTGATGTCTGTAGGAGACGCCATTGACTATTCTTTGAAGGATATGAAGAGCAGTTTTTCCAACATGATGAATAGCTGCCCAAACATGTACTGCACCGCCTTCTGTATGTCCCCTGTGGGAGAGACAATCTTCCCTAATCTGTTCTCCAAGCAAACGACGAACACGAATCTTACCAACAGCTTTAACAAGCCGGAAACAGAACTCACCTGAAAAGATGAAATGTCACCAGTGTCTTAACTGTAAGTTGGCATGCTGTCTTGTCCAAGTAACATGGTGACGGTGGTGAATTCTGGTTAATATCAGTTTGCAGATAACGCTCCTTGCAAAATATCCTTTTTCAGTCAGTCTCCCATTTACTGTTCTTCTGGATACTCTGGAATGAATGTGTTCATGCCATTCCTGTCGTAAGATGTTGCAAGACTTCTTTAGACCTTGAAGTGTTCACCTGATCAAACACGGTCATTTCGGGCAGTAGTTTTTCGGCGTCTACCAGTAGATTTTCCTCGAACAACGTTTCCTGTGGTCCAAAGAAATTTCAGAATTCTGGATACAGTACATTGAGGGTACTCTACTGTTCAGGCAATGTCCATTTGCTTCATACCATTTCTGGACAGACAAACAAGTTAATGCCCTATAAATTATAGCACGTGACGAGGCATGATTCTACATCAAGTACAGAGAAATTGTCTGAAAAAGCGATGATCTGTTTCGAAAAAAAGATTATACGAAAAGCACACCCTTTTATAAAAAATTTTGTGTATGAGTGTTTTCACAAACAAATGCTCAAAACAGCTTCTACAGACCAGAATAACAACTCGTACATGTCTTTCCAATCATACGTTACGTTTTCTGTTAGTACTCGGGCATTAACTTAATAGACAATTAACACGTAGACAATAACATCAATATAAAACACTATCCAAAGATTTTGGCTAAGACGGTATTATTTCCACTATTTCCAGTATTATTTCCAGTATTTGTTAGTACTGTTTATAATACAACAATTTGAAGTATTCCACTACACTTTATTTTCCGTCTATGTAGTCTCAGCTTCAGAAGAAAGTCAAGCTGAAGAAAACAGTAATAGGTTCGGCTTATATTTAATTTCACGCAAAACTACTCGAGGGCTATCTGCGTTAGCTGCCCATAATTTAACAGTGAAAGGCTAGAGGGAACGCTGCTAGTCAAGACCACCCACTGCCAACTCTTGGGCTACTCTTTTATCAATGAATAGAGAGGTCTTAGTCTTAGTCCCTCCCGTTCCGTTGGAAACATTGGTGAGAGAG